AAGAGCAATAATAATATTAACATATTTAGCTTTAATATTTTCCAATTTTTTTATAATGACGAAGGTAATTTTATATTAGGATTATTACAAGATTATTTTATTATTATAAAATTTGATACATAATATTAGGCATATAATATTGATTTATTATTTTTATTAATATTGCTATCAAAAGTATTGTTAAGTTAAGTTATTGTTAAGTATTGTTAAATAACGATAAAATTAACAATAACATTATTGCATTACTTACTTTTTATTACAATCTATTGCTGAAAAATTTCTCATTGCTTAATGCTAAAGAACTTTCTATTTTTAACTACATCTCACTTTGCAGTCTTTCGTTAAATTATATACGCTCAATCATTCTTTCAACTTGTTAATCTTTGCGAAATGTATATACTCTTCAATTCTTATATACGTATACTTACATGTATAAAAATTTTGTATTACATCTGTTATTTTTATTGTCCTTTTTGACATTGTGGATTTATCAACGAGATTCTCGATAGAAATGATAAAATAATAAAACTGAATAAGAATATCTTTTTATCTAACATCACCGGGCTTTAGACATGACCTCTGTTAATGACCATTTAAATTCATCGATTTACACATTGTGTGTATGTCAAATTATGCCGATTTTGGCATCACTCGACTTTGTTTTAAAAAATCATACATAGGAAATTCGTACGTTGCTTTTGAAAAACCATCTATCATGAAGGGATAAAGCCGGCGGATCTCGCTCTTCTTATCGGAAAGATCTTCATCGGTGCACCAAGGTAAAACAAATGGCAATCTGCAAAAAGGAACAAATATCTTCTTAGTTCTTACTAATGCAATATACTTTATTTCTCGTATTAGCGCTATGTAAGCTGATTACATCACTATATTATTTTTTGCGTTATTATTAAGGTGCATAAAACATAATTATTTTATAAATATGCTATTTTTTATTTGCGATATATTCATTTATTCTTACCTCGGCGGTATGCATCTTTGTATTTCATATATTATAGTTTTTACAAAGGGATGATTTTGAAATTTTTTTGCTCCTGGAATATGTGTCAATGGGCGTGATGTAAAGTACATTTTATTACTCTCCATTAACTTGTGCTTTTTACTTTCCAGTAGTTTGTTCTCTGAATTCCAGAGATTTTCTTTGGATTTATAACTGTATAAATTATAAATTATAAATCAAAGTTTTCTGGATTTAAATAAAATATGCAACTTTTCTAATGATAAAATTTGTAATAAATTTGTAATGAAGTTTTGTAATGAAATTTTATTAATAAAAAATAAATAATAAGAGATTGTTATTTGTCAAAATTTATTAATTTTTTTACATTTCAGTAATCTTATATATATATATTAATACTCTTGGTACTTAAAGAAAGATTAATTTATGATTAAACAGAAGGTTTTATAGTATATTTAATTATTATATAATCTTTTTTCACAACCTTAATTGAAAAAAATATGATGAATATTTAAAATATAATGAATATTTTTTTAGATAAAACAGCAAGAACAAGAGAAAAGTAATTCATTTGTATTTATAAAAATGATGTATTTAAAAATTGGAAAATACAAGCTCTTTCAATTTTCCAAGACTTACCTGATGAATTTACAAAAATCTAAATTCGGTGGTATGTAAACACATACGTAAGGTGTAACTGTTGCGGCTGAATCATTTATGGACGTCATTATATTATTATTTTTTGAAAGTTCTGAACCAGTAATTGGATATGTATTTCCCATAGCAACAAATAATTTCAGGATAAAGAAAAATAAAAACGGTTCCAATAAAGCGCCCCACATGATTGTTGGAAGGTCTTAATCACACGTTGTAATACTGAAAAATTATATAAATAAATATTCATAATTTACCATAAATATTTCATGAAATTTTGATAATTTTATCAAATATACAAGAACGGATTTGTGAACGGATTAGTGAAATTTTTTTAATTCTATCACTAATCCGGTTCTCCTAATAAGCGATGATATTTAGTTTGCATAGTTGTTGCTTATACTCGAATGTTCATCCACGGGCAAAATTGTGCGTCTCATCAAGAATAAATATCCTAAATATCCCCATTGCATTATAATGGATTAATTCCAGCAATTAAATGTCAACGCATTCTAGTTAAATAAAGACATCGCTGAAGTGCATTTGTTCGAATATACTATAATAACAACGAAGCTAGGGTAAAATAGAAATAGAACTCTTAACAATGATAATATTAACTGTGCGTTATCGCGCGTAAAGTAGTGTGCGAGAAATACAAAGTGATCCTTTATATCCCGTCGATCATGAGAACGACTTGAGAGTTTTATAAAAGAAGAGGGAGTCCTCTTCTCCATTTTTATTACATCTATTTTATAAGCATGCCTCAATCTTTCATTATGCATCCTGTCATTTTTATTGTAGTGTAGAATTATTATTGCAAACTGTACGTTGGAAGATAATGCTTGCGCGATGAAGATATTAAATGAAGATCGCAATTATGCAGACCGGAAAATTGTTCTGGTCCTCTTCAGATGCATTAAAGGAGCGCATTAGGATGCCTTAGTTTCGTAATAGTATTAAATTTATCTTTAAGCAAACGCAATTCACTCGTGCAAATCGTTAGACAATTTTAACGAAAGATTCCTATCCTACATATATATAATTATTTGTATTCTTGGGGAATTTGCAAGATCAACAATTAAATTTAATAGATTAAGAATTAGATGTTTTCATCGCGAATATTTTTTTGTACGATATTATACTAACAGTAATATAGAAATAAGCTTTATTTTAGAAGGATTATTTCATTTTGTAAAATCACTTTTCAGGCACAATAAAAAATTATCGTTATTCACAAACCACAAAAATCTGCCGATCATTAAAATTAGAGATCTCGTCTATGTATCTTATATTCATTAAAACTTTTTTTAATTTCTTTCATTGTTAAAACGTTTACTAACGACGTGCACCTATGATGTCAATGATTGATAAATATTCTTCGATATATAGATGATGAAGTCGAATTGCTTTGATTGTGCGCACCTGAAGAGATAATAAGGTGATCATCGCGGAATGATATCAATTAATGATGTTGTTATCACACGGTTTCAGATAACATAATCAGTCTATTTGTTAGTCGATCTGCTGCAGTTCACAGCCCTTACTCTCGTAATTCGAACATTGCGTCGAGCACGCACGCACCATCGACACTCGCGAATCCTTTAACCATAAGTGGCTGCGCACAATCAAAGGAATGGGGAACAGAGAATAAGAATTGCAACCTATCAGAAATCATGTACTGTGGAATACAGTTCCTGATAAATGGAAATTTTCTCTGTTCCCTATTCCCATTAGGTCTGTTCTTTTTGACTGAATTTGTGTACCAGTTCATCTTTTTTTCTTTTTTCTTCAGGAGGAAAGAAGAGAAAGAAAGATGAATTAGTGCAAAAGTTCAGCCAAAAAGAACAGGTCTTTTGATTATGCACAGCTCCTAATCTTACTGAGATTGTTGATCTCAGGGACCAATCACGCGCCAATGTCAGCATTTTCTCTTTTTCTTTCTTTCTCTCTTTCTTTCTCCTGCGACTATTTATATACAACGGTATGACCGATTCGCGTCTCGATTGGTATGCGGCTGACACAAAAGCACGTCTCCAATTGTTCTCCAATTTATGTTGGAAAGATACTTTTCAAAAAACGATTAATAATCAGCTCACGCATTGTTCGTGAACAACGTTCTGCTCAGTTTCATGCTTCTCGGGGGATTCCTTAAACAACAACTTTCGTATTTATATTGAGCATTGTTTTACACGAACACGAAGAAAAAACTTGGTTGTGCTATGACTTGCTATCGTTAGAAAGATAAAAGATACACAAAATCGCGAGTCGTCGTTAATACATTATTCCGACACAATCCGGTCAACAGAATCCGGTCAGCTACACTAAGTAAACCGCTCGACAAACTCGATGGAATGAAAATGAACGTCTTGCACGGAGCGATGCCGTTCGATGTCTCGGTTCCTCCCTTAATTTGAGTAACGACTTCATCATCACCGTGATAGAGTCGAAACGCGCTTCCGCGTACACCACGAAGTATTGTCAGAGTTTAATCGTGCTAACATCTGACAGCAATTCGTCACTCCGTATAGGTATATGCAGAAACCACAGATATACATGCGCGTGCGCTCACCTGATGTAGTCACTCAGACTGCAAGATCTCTGTGGAAACGCATGCCATATGTGGCTTTAGCGTTTCCCCGCCGGATCGCGTTACGTCGAATTACTTATATATTTGTCACAGCCGAAAGACAAGAGTTAATTAACTGGAAATATATAATGATATTGCCCTATCGTAATGAAAACCGTAATTGGCGATATTTCTTAACTAATAAATATTTATCTTTGCAAGTAGATAATGTCGTGTCCAAATTTCATATCTATTACACTAAATTTTTATCAAATACCGATAACCTTTAAAATTTTTCTCTCTAAAAATTGAGTGTAAATAAAAATTTGTATAAGATAAAAGAAGATATAAAAATACATGTAATTTAAATAATATATATAATTTATTTTTTGACATTCTTTT